ATCTTGGGACCGTCACTGGCTTTAGAGGCGTCACGCGAGATTTCGCCATGGCTAGACTACAGTGTATCTCGCCCTTGTGATTCCTTAACTTCAAATAGGAGCATTGACCATATCCACCAAGGCTGGCATCGGAGAAACTGTGGAGCTCAGCAGACTCGATCGTCCCAAAGTTGGTCGGTTTATAACATCGCGGGATCTTGAGATCCTTCAGGTGGTGCAGGTCATCCCTCCATTTCTCCCATTCGGCTCGTAGCTCGTCCGATAGCCTTTCATCCCATCCCAGATTTTCCTTGAACATCTGCTGCAGAATTTTCTTGCCCTTGAGAACGAATGGTGAGACTAATCCCAGGGAATCAAATACGGAACTCACCGTGGATAGTATCGATCGTCTTGTGAGTGGCTTGTCCTTAAGCTCTATACGGAACTGGAACTGATCAGATTCCACGCACCACTGCACGCCTAAAGCTCTTTCTATCGGCAAGGCCTCGCACTTGAGGTCAATTTCTTGGATGTTCTTAGCGCGTTGTTCTGTTGGTAGGCCTTCGAGGACTTCCTTGCTGTTGCAGGTGAACTTGTGGAGGTTAAAGCCTCCCATCTGGCACATTGCCTTTGTTTTGGTTATGAGCTCATTTGCTTCCTTAACTGTTTCCACGGACTTTAGACCATCATCGACGTAGAAGTCGTTGCGCACGAAGTCGGCAACTTCGTTTCCGAACTCCTCTTCATGATCATCGGCAGTTCTCTTCAGTGCGAAGTTTGAACATGCTGGGGAGGATGTTGCTCCGAACAGGTGCACGGCCATTCAATATTCCTTGACTGCCTTCTCTGGATCACCTTCTCTCCACCAAAGGAACCGCAAGAAGTTTCTGTGGTCAGGCCTGACGTTGACTTGATGAAACATTCCTTCAATGTCGCACATAAAGGCCACGGCTTCCTTTCTAAAGCGGCAAAGCACGCCGGTCAAGTTGTTTGTCATGTCTGGACCCTGTAAGAGACTGCCGTTCAAAGAACTTCCTCGAAATTTTGCGCTAGCGTCGAATACCACTCTAATCTTCCCAGGTTTTTTGGGGTGATAAACGCCATGATGCGGGATRTACCATACTGTTCCATCGTTGATTGAGAGCTCTGCTTCGGGGACTTCCTTGGCGAAGCCCTTACTTATTACCTCTTGCATGAAATTCCGGTAATGTTCGCTATAAGTTGAATCCGCATCGAAACGCCTTTTGAGGTTGGTCAGACGGCTCAGGGCCATCTGTCGGTTGTTGGGTAATGATACCTGGTCTGTCTTCAAAGGTAGAGGTAATTCGTAATGACCGTTATCTAAATGCTTGACACCGCTCTCGAGGATTTTGATAAAGTTCATTTCATCGCRGGACAGGGATTTTTCTTCTGATTGATTCGTACTGCTCTTCTCGAYAAAGTCCGTCATGAACATCTGGTTTATCAGTGCAGGAGAGATAAGCTCTTTGGATTCTGTTTGAAATGTGATRTGACATCTGTTGTCACGGATGTCTGACTGCGTGACTGCACGATTGGTCGTGTATAGATGATCTTCATTTTCTAGTGGGCTGGGATCCACTGAGCCTATGATTCCCCATCCTAACGCTGTCTTCTCGCCGTATGGGTCGTCCTCTCTGCCTGGTATGACGTCACGCGGTTTTATGGCACGTGGGCAATTGGAACCTATGAGGATTCCAACTTCGACGTCTTCCCTGTAAGGCATCAACCGTTCAGCTATTTGCTCTAAATGAGGCCAGTCACGTGCCACTTCTGGTCTTGGGATTTGATTGCGTCTTGCGGGAATGTTGTCAAGTGAGTACGCACCTGGTAGAGGTATGTCTGCATTTTCACTTAAGCCACGTACAGTTAAGCCCCTTATCTTCACACACCTTTCCACGCCTTCACCCATCACCGTGCCCACGCTCAGATCGACGAGTGGGCCGGTTAGGGATAGTTTCTTCACCACAGAGTCCTTTATGAAGCAAGCATCTGATTGGTCGTCTAGAAGAGCATAAACTAGCAGTTTCCGCTCTGGATCAGATGCATGGTGCAACCATACTGGGACTATCAGT